GTGGGTCCCCTGTATGAATACCACCTGTGCCCTGGACTTTCAAAGTTGAGCTAAAACCATAGTCCATTTTTTTTTTTTTTTTTTAACCATAGTTTTTATTCAACATTTTTCACAATACAGGTGATGTGACCCATACACAGACCCATACAATATAATGTGGAAGAGGACAAAATAACAAAAAAATACATGGCCAAAGGCCCAATATTTGCATCGGTGTATCATATGCCAATCCTGAAAAGCCAGTGGGCCCTTAAAATGCTAGGGTCCAAACAAATTAGTACAATTAAGTCAAAAAAATAGGGCACCTATCATAAAAGCAAAGTAAAGTAACGATTATTATGCACGTGGTGTACAAAACTTTGCTAGTACATGGGTCAGAAAGCGACATAAAGCTTTTGGGGGGGAGGAAAAAAAAAAGGGGGGGGAGGTGTAACACTCTAAGGGAAAAGGGGAGAACAAGGGATAACATAACTAATAATCAATCTTGGCAATACAATGTTAAAGTATTATTTATACTATTAACTTACTACAGATGTAACTTATTGGATCTGAAAAAGGCTAAGTGGTGCAGAGATCATATACATATGGGAAGAGGGGGATGCTGTATAAGACACATTTGCCTCAGCAGAACTGTGCTAGCATGACCCGCTTGAGATAGAAGATTCCTTCACACCATTCCAGAGCTACAACGTTTGTCAGTCAACCAACAGCCCCAATCTGTATTGAATTTCTGTTCCCTGAGGTGAGCTCTGGCAAACAGAAATTCAAAATGCATATGTGTGTTAAGTGTGTCGATCATCATTGACATGGTCGGGATGGCCTGTTGTTTCCACAACCTAGCTATAACTAATCTAACTGCTATGAGTATGTGTGTCATGAGTACTCGCAAGGAGGGGGGGCAGTCCAATATACCAATCCCTAGGAGGGCCATCTGCGGGGTAGGAGGGCATTTCAGATGAGTGATGTCACTAATGAATTTAAAGACGGATTCCCAGAATGGAGCAAGTGTAGGGCAGTGCCACCAAATATGGTGAAGCGATCCTGTCCCACCACAATTACGCCAACATAGTGGGGATGAGGTAGGAAAAAACTTGGCCAACTTATGTGGGGTATAATACCAATTGTGCAGCAGCTTCTGGGTGGATTCCCAATGAGATAGACATCTAGAGGCCTTTAGGGGCCAGGCCATTGTGCGATACCACTGCTCAAGAGATACTGAGAATCCCAATCCCTTTTCCCACCAAGTTATCGAGGAAAGTTTAACCTCAGTCGTGGGAGTAGTTAACATTTTGTAGAAAAAGGAAATACCTTTCTTGCTTGAAGATGTTTTAGAAAAGAAGGCTATTGCACTTCTCATGTGTGTAGAATCATTGAGTTTTGTCTTAGACAGGAAATGTCTAATTCTAAGATATTTGTAGAAGTCTCTGACAGGAACATTAAATTGTTGGCAGAGAGTGTGAAATGATTTCAACACCTCGCCAGAGAATAATTGACCCAGGTGTGTGATACCACATGCCTTCCATTTGGAAATGCCCAGGTCACTAAGAACATAATCCAGAGTATCCAATGGTATATCACTTAAACATTTCCCAATGCTTGTGGAAGGGGTGAGGCTTAAAGATGTCCACACTCTCATAGTAGCTGTAACTGTATCTAGGTAATATTTAGGTGGAGTGTAGTTTAGAAGCGTAGTGTGCAGCAGCAGGTTTAGGTCAGAAGAGATTATTGCCGATTCCATTCGATTCCATATTTTATCAGATTGGGGGGACCACCAATGTCGGGTCTGGTCTAAAATTGTGGCCTTATAATATTTTGCGATGTCCGGGGCTCCTAAACCTGCAAAGGACTTAGGAGTGTACAAGATGCTTTTCTGTATTCTGGCCTTCTTACCTGACCAAATAAAGGAGTCCAGAATACTTTGTAAGTCTTTCAGGTATGACGGGAGCAACGGAATCGGCATTGCTCTAAATAAGTATAATACGTGAGGGAGTACAAACATTTTAACCAGATTTACTTTACCCGCCCATGAGACAGGGGGATAGCATAAGTTTTTACAAAGCTCCTTGACTTTATGCAGGAGAGGGGAGTAATTCAGAAGAAACAATTGAGTGCTAGGTGAGGCAACCTGTACCCCAAGGTAAGTAAATGAGTCAGAAGGAGCCCATGAGAAAGGACAGATGGAGGTGATATCACGCTTACATTTAGGTGATGCACTAATTAGTAACATTTGGGATTTGGCGTGGTTAATTTTATACATGGAGACTTCGCCGAACCAGGAAAGTATATGTTGCACGGCTGGGAGTGATCGTAAAGGATCGGTCAAAAAAAGGATAACATCATCAGCGTATAATCCAATCTTATGTGTGCAGTTATCAATTTGTATGCCATTGACCTCAGAGGATTGGCGTATAGCTGCTGCCAAGGGCTCTATTGTCAATGCAAAAATAAGAGGGGATAAAGGGCAGCCCTGTATGGTGCCATTACTTATGTTAAAGGGGGTCGATAGTAGCCCTGAGGTCATCACTCTGGCACTAGGGGTAGTGTAGAGAGCCCCAACCGCAGAACCTAGAAAGTCAGTGATCCCGAATTTGCCTAAGACGGCTCTGAGGTATCCCCAGTGAACCCTATCAAAAGCCTTCTCTGCGTCTAAGGATAGAAACAGAGAAGGCAAGTTTGAATGTTCAGCATATTGGAGGATGTCTATAAGTCTCCTAGTACCATCCGGAGCTTGTCTCCCAAGCACAAACCCCACTTGGTCTGGGTGGACAAGGTGCGGAATAATTTTAGGTCGAGGTGGGTCTATAGTTAGCTGGGTTGTCAGCAGGCTTATTAGATTTGGGGATGGTGACTATAAGTGCTTCCAAAGACTCCTTAGGAAACTGACCAGAAGTAGCAGCCTAATTTGCTAACTGGCACAGGTGTGGGGCCAGTGATGTGGTAAATATTTTGACGTATTCCGCACTGAAACCATCAGGTCCTGGAGCTTTGTGCAAAGGTAGGTCATGGATAACCTTAGTGACCTGCGATACAGAGAAAGGCGCAGAAATGGCATCTGAAAAGTCAGAGGGAAGTAAGGGGAGTTGCACTGAGTCCAAAAATGTATTTACCGTATTTTGCGGTCCATAAGACGCACCGGACCATAGGACGCAGGGAGGTCCGGCGCGCCTTATGGAGCACTCGACAGACCGTAGCTTCTGTCACAGCTTCTATGACAGAAGCTGTGACAGAAGGTTTGACCTGAGTTGGGGGCATATAGGTTGACTATTGTCATGAGATGGTTATCAATAGTAGCAACAAGTATAATAAATCTGCCGTTGGGATCTAATATTACTTCATGTTCTTGAATCGTGATAGAATTCTTAACAGCTATCATCACTCCTTTTCTTTTTTTCTCAGCATTGGCAAAATAGTAGTGGGAAAAGTCTTTCCTTTTACAAACAGGGGGTTTTTCCCTATGAAAATGTGTCTCCTGGACACACAAAATATCGCAGCGAAGAGATGTTGCCTCTCTCCAGAGCATAGAACGCTTATTAGGGCTATTAAGTCCCTTAGCGTTAATAGAATTAATGATGAGCGGCATGAGGAGTTAAAACGTAATGCCTGTAGGTGTCGCAACCGCACTGTAGGGAAACATATATAGTGACAAGAGCCTTTTCAGAAACAGTAGATATACGCACTCTGTAGTATAATGGTACATAACTCAAAGCAGGTAAGTAATCAATATAAGCCAAGCATATCAAACTAACAAGAACTGCTCCCTTTAGTAGGAAGTTCCTTAAAGAAAAAACTATCTTAACAAAAAACGTAATAACCAAAAACAACATAGTGTGCTTAGCACACAATACTGAGGGGGAAATATTAGTTCCGGACAAACAGCAGGAACGGGATCCAGAAGATGTAAGCCTTACACCAGCCGGTGTAAAACATGACCTACAGATGGTTGTATAATTGGGATGGTGATACCCCAAGATTGTAGGGTATTTGCAGCATCAGCGGGGTTAAGGAGAGGTATCAATTTGCCCTTATAAGTAGCAAGCAGCTTGGTAGGGAATCCCCATCTTTATGGGATTCTGCGTTCCCTGAGTGCTTTCGTGATCGTTGCAAATTCCTTCCTCTTCTGGGCTGTGGCAGCGGAGATGTCAGCAAAGAGGGAGATGTCAGAGTAGGGCTCCAGGAGGGACTCTGCTCGCCTGGTTAAAAACATCAGCTTCTCCTTGAGGTGAAAAAAATGGATCCTTGCAATCACATCTCTGGGTGTAGCTTCCGGAAGATGTTTGGGCTTAAATAGCCTATGAGCTCTATCAATAATCAAATCAGCAGGAGGCTGATTAGGAAGCAAGGTGGAGATCAGACGTTGAATATAGCTAGAAAGATCCACAGCTCCAATCGATTCAGGGATGCCCCTAAACTTGATATTATTGCGTCTGGATCTATCCTCTTGGTCCGCAATCTTTTCCTGTAGCTGGGATAGCAATTGCTGCTGCTCTGTATATACGCATCAAACAGATCATTAAATGTGGCCGCATATTCACCCATGTAGTTTTCAATACAGGCTGTACGTTCACCCAGGCCATCTATCTGTGACTGCAGGGATTGTATGGAGGATTTAAAATCATTTTTCAGCTCTGTACGTAATGACAGTAACATTAGCTTAATGGCCGCTTCAGATGCAGGGTCTGAGGAAGCAGGGAAAGCTTCCAAGGAAGGTGCTGCGTCAGAGGGGCCTTGTGACACTGAGGTGGCAGCAGTCGACTGCTTTTTATTTACAGGGCCCTTAGATTGTGGCGATTGCAGTGGAGAGGATGCCGGCCGTTTTGAAAACTCCTTCTGAGGTGACAGCTGATCAGCTGTGTTCTCCTCCATCGCTGTCAGTGGAGCGGTAATGAGGTTGATTTCTTACCACCGCTGACGAGGCGCCATTTTGTTTACCTGAGGCGGGTGTCCTCGGATAGAAATCTGTGAGTCTCCTGGGACCCTTGGACTTTGTTTTTCCTTTGGACATGTCGGCGGTGATATCGGCACTCCGGTGAGTGTTAATATACTACCGACTGGTGTCTCAGCAAGCACGGAGTTGCTATAGTAATGGATCCCGAAGCTCAGCTCCGGTTAAAGCGGCCATATTCGTCCGCAGCCAAACCACGCCCCCATAGTCCATTTTTACGGCACGTTCAGCCCCCTTGCATTGAGAGAAATTACTTTCACAGATGCTGTTGGAGAAGATAGGGGCCAACCCCGCACCTGCCCCCCAGCCCGAACCCTGCTGCCAGTCATAACAGAGAAAAAAGGGGGAAGAGAGAAGAAAAAGATAATTAAACCCTAAATCTTCCTTAAGGTGGGCAAATGGAAATGATATCTCCTTGCAAAGTTCCAACCCTCTTTAAAAAAAAAAAAAGAGCGAGAAAGAGAGCGAGAGAAGGGGGAAAGGAGCAGCATATGCAAAGCAGAGTGTATGACGCCAAAAGTGGACACATCAAACAGAAAATGCAAATCAAGCAGTGTGCCATGAAACATAACTAGCATCAAAACACTTTCCCACGCAATCCATACAAAAATGGAAACAACACTATCAAGACAGGACACACTGGGGAGGGTAGCAAGGAAGGAAGGGGGGCAGAACAGAAAACCAAAGGATACAAGAAGGAAACATATAAGGAACGTCACCAGCACACCAAAAATCCTTTTAGGATCACCAAATGTTCATTTATTTAGAACCATGTCAAGCAAAACAAGTGCTTTCGGCCGCACAGGTTCCTTTCATCGGGCCTAGCATTGACAAAAGTGCAAACATAAATCAGAGCATAAATAGGCATACAGTAGTGAGAAACACCCTTGAAACACACCCCCTGACGTGACTATGATGTCACACCCGTGAATCGCTATCACAGCGGACTATGATGTAATGAAACCACCAAAACCCTCTGTAAACATGCCTGAGAGTAGATAGAAAAAACTTTTTGTATTGTCAGTTTCAAAATGAAAAGGTGATCAAGTGTCAGTATAAATGACCATTACACATCATGGTATGTAAAAGTGAAGTACTGCTACCTTGTGACGAGGCACTGGAGTGTGGCTTGCAATGTGCCTGTAGCCGGTGTCACGTTGTGCTGCCAGATATCAGGTTACCATGGTGACTGAACACCGCTGTTCGGTCCAAATGGAGGTACAGACAGGTATGGGCTATAAGGTATAATTAGGAAGGCAAGTCCTGATGTGCCGCCCAGCATCCTGATTGGCTAGGAAGCCAGGTTCACTTGTTGCTAGGCAGTCTGGCTTCCTGACCAATCAGGAAGCAGGACGGCACCTCATGACTTGCCGCCCGGTTTCCTGATTGGTCAGGAAGCCAGGCAGCCTCAAGTGAAGCAGATTTTCTGTCGCTAGAACACTGGCTTCACAGGCAATCAGGAAGCCGGGCGACGGGTCATGATCCGCCGCCTGACTTCCTGATAATTGGCGAGTACTGGAAAATAAATATTTAAAAAAATATCGAAAACCTGGTATCGGTGCATCCCTAATTTGTAGGGATGTTCAGTTACCAGTGCCAATACTTGGCATTTGCACAAGAACTACCAGGGTCACAGAGGTTGCAGCTGGGACAGGGCTCTGGCGCTCCACCACTGTCCTGAAATCATTAGTCTGTATTGTTTTAGAAAAACTGTCTTGTGACCTGTGGCACACTGGCATCTTATGGGGACATTGTTTATGTACAGAATATATATCTGGGGACCTGTGGTACACGGGCAAGTTGTGATTAACTCCATATGATTTGTGATACATTGTGATTAACTCCAATGTTATTTCATCACAAAATATATGCATAATGTATAATTTACAAAAAAAATTGCCGTGAGGCACTACAGTGTTCGGGTTTGTCTTGAAGAAAAGTTGGCATCCCTAGTGATGTTCCTTATACGATTTACAGCATTAGCGGTGCCATCCGCTGTCATTCCGAGCACCCTTTTCCCGACAGCTGGGATATCCAGTAAGGAGTACAACAATCCTTCTCTATCTCAGAAGAAGGAAACAGTCACAGTGGTACCACCACAGGCAAAGAATGTATAGCACCCATAATCCTAAGCATAACAAATGTGTGACGGAAAGAGAGGACATACTAACCATACCCAAATGTGGTACAGATCGGAATGCATGATGCCAAAAATACACACAATGAAACAAAAATACTAAGTGGACATGGAGGGTTTCTACAACAATTTGAACAGTTATAAGCAACAATATGGTGAACAAGAGGAGTCCTTTACTGAGCACGGGGGGGAAAACAGCTGGAAACTGGGCTCCCCTAGGAAACAAAGTAAAGTCATAGGGAAAAAAAAGAGGTGAACATATGCGCTAGTCCAAAAGGGCTCAGAGGAGACCACAGCCCCAAGCATTCATGGGAGACCACTGAGAAATGTACATAGAATCCCAGAAGCTCCAAATGACACAGAGAAGTTCATCTGGAGAGGTCGAGATGACAAATAAGGTATTTAAATCTTTACAAGGTCGTCTGCATAACAGGAAGAGACAGGATCCAACAGGTAAGTATTACTCACACAAAGCCTCACAGGAAACAGATTTCAGTCCTGTTAAGCAGAAGAGGAAGAAAGCAAGGTTACCACAGACAGATCCATGGATCCCTGGCAAACACATGTGAACACAACTGGATAGCCTCAGAGGTGAAGAAGGTATGTGTGTCTGTATGTGATCATCCGTAAGGCAGAAAGGAACACGCAAAAGAGAAACATGGAGCAGCTTTACCCTCGTCTCCAATCCCGCCACTGGAACCTCAGTGCCCGGTAAAGCTTCTACCAGAGCCTTCACTTAACAGTAGGTAAAACCCAACACTAGAAAGGGGATCTGTCCATTCAATACTTGACTGATGGATTCGTCAATTTTCTGTCTCTCCTTTAAAAACCCCAATAAACACACGGACTGCGCGACATGGATTTTAACGGCCACAGCAGCCCTTTTATTAAACAAACAACTTTAACAATAACCAAAGTAATAAACCAAATATACAAAAATAATACTTTAACAAGGGTTGACCTGAGAAGGGGTCTTTGGGTGCCCGCCAGCCCAAAAAAGGCCTCTCATAACACTCCACCCATGTCCCCAGCCGCACCACAACCAGCTCGAGGACACTTACTCCTTCCGGGTTCCCAAGGGGCCAGGCCCCCGCCCTTTACAAATCCGGACACCAACAGGGGGAAGCACCCATACCAGCTGAGGGCCCCCCACATTTT